TCCTCAATTCCAAGAAGAAAGGTAAATGTGATAGACACGGTCTACTCAAACGGCGCATACCACCTGATTACTCAAGAGGGCGACAGGCAATTAATGCCAATAAATGGGAAGTTCCTGAAAAAGTACTACCCCTAGTACATTCAGGATAACTCATTTACCGGGAAGTCTTGAAGAGTATTACACTTAATATTCTAGAGGATAACCCAAAATCTTTTTCACCACCAAAATCCCTCACCGATCAATTTCTATTGACAGTGAGTCCACCAAAAAATATCTTTCTAGCCCTCTTGACTCTTTCCATGAACAATAGGTCTACTTTCAGTTCAGAGTCCCCTTTCGATAAATGAAAGAACTCCCTTCTTTTTCTCTTTGGTTAAGCCTTCTCATGGTTATAACCTAAGTTGAAATTTCATTTCGATAAACGAAAAACTCATCTTTAGATAACCAGTCCTATAAAAGGCAAAGGTAAGTTTATCTAGATTTTCCAGATTCTCGGAGTAGAGATCCCACTTCTAGTTTCTTTTGCGCTCGATAAACGAAAAACTCATCTTCTGATCAGATAACCAATCCTATAAAAGGTAAGTTTATCTAGATTTTCCAGATTCTCGGAGTGGAGATCCCACTTCTAGTTTCTTTTGCACTGGAAATAGAATATAAAATTCTTCCTTTCCAGAATCAAAGAATAGAATACAAAATTCTTCCCTCCTTGTTTTCGGGTTCGCCTTCACCCTAAAAGAAGACCGGGAAATAGAATATAAAATTCTTCCTTTCCCGCACCGATCTTTCAAAAATTTGTCAATTTAGGATTCATCCTAGGAAGTTTATCCCGAATCCTAAGCAGGGATAAGTCTGCGCCTAACACGCGCTGCCAGTTTAGTCTTTTTCTGTAGAAAAAGACACCAGAGTTCGATTCTAGGGAATTTCATCCTGAATCCTAAGAAAGGATATACCGACGCCTAACACGCGTCGCCGGTTTAGTCTTTCTTCGTAGAAAAAGACACCAGAGTCCGATTCTGGGGTATTCTATCCCGAAGCCTAAGTAGGGATAAGTCAGCATCTAAAACACGTTGCTGGGTAGCCTATTCCCATGACAATGGCGAAGTCTACATATTCGAAGTTGTAGCATCAAGTCTAAGGGAGTTCATTCCTTTAGCACAACGTCACATGCGGAACAGATTTAGACAATCTGCATGCTAGCCCGACTCAAACGGTAGTCGGTAAAGACTAATCAAACCCGTTAAAGGCTGGGGGTTAGCCTATTCCCGTAACAATGGCGAAGTCTATGTATTCAATATCATAGCACAAAGTCTCGGAGAATTTACTCTCTTAGCACAACGTTACATGCGGAACGGATTTAGATAATCCGCATGCTAGCCCGACTCAAACGGTAGTCGGTAAAGGCTTATCAAACCCGTTGAGGGCTGAGGGTTTGCCAAAAATCCTAAAAGAATTATGGTCAATCATTTCAAACGGAATGAGGAATCATAATAAAGATAAAGACAAAAACCAGTTCCACTAAAAAGATCAAAAGTCAAAACATTCAGCAAATAAAATCATACATCAAGCGCATGGCCAAAAATCTGCTGATTAAGCTTAGACAGCTTCTCATCATAAGCTTGCCTCAGCTCAACTCTGATGGACTCCTCGGTGGTGGCTAAAGTCTTCGCAGTAACCTCCTCCGTCTCGGCCAGCTTCTGCTTCAAATATTTCAACTCCTCAGATAAAGCAGTGTGGGCTCGCTGATCCTGTACCTTCGTCATCTGAAGAATACTCAAAGTCTCCTCTTTCTCACGGAGTTCTCTTCGGAGCTGGTCTATCTGAGTCTCACAAGAAGCAATGGAAGAATCAAGCTCGTCGAGTGAGGATGACCTAATAGCAAGGTTAGCCTCAACTCGATCTACCCGGTCCCGCTGTACCTGAATCTCAAGCTCAGCAAGAAACCTAGTATCGCGCCATGTCTGTAAGTGAGTATCCAACTCGACAACAATGAATGAAGAGGCACCTGCATCCCGGAGCTCGCGAAACGTCTGAAGCACATGCTCTAGGCAGTCAAGATCATCAACTATAGCCTTCGCCAGATCCGGGTATCCTGCATCCCTTATTAAATTTATCTTAGGCTCAAATAATGGCTTAAACTGGTGAAGGGAAAGTCCGCCGTGGAAGAGTTTGCCAATCATAGCATTTACAAAGGAGAAGAAGGAGCGGATTTCTATGCAGATGACAATCTTCTCTGGGTCGCTATCTGATAATAACTCCTTCACAAGGACGTGAAGCCGAGAAGAAAGCCCTACACAAAAAGGAGAAATCCGTCAAAAGCCTTGATGAAGAAATAAATAATATTTCTCAGTAGCTCAATTTATACCTTCTTCCCCTTGACTCACTGAGGGTGGTGGAGGTGTAGCGGCTGGGGGTGTATCAACTGGTGTAGTTGGTCTCACAGCCGGCTCAACATGATCAGTCTCGACAAAAGCTCCTGTCAAATACAAAATAGAATTCTCAGATGCATCACATTATAGTTGCATTAGTAAAAAATTGGCTAGTCCTATAATTAACTCGAGAAGAGCTACGTACCTTCGGAAAAACCATCCTCGGGATTCTTAGGGAGCGTAGACTCGGGAAATACATCTCCAGGCAACCGGTCATCAATTTGAGAAGAGCCATACATAAAGTGGAGCATAGGAGTGTCCACAAGCAAGCCTTCCTCATCAAAATCATCAGTCGAGAAATCTGACACAAGAGAACATAAGTGCGAAAGGAGAATAAAGAGACTACGACCAATAGAAATGAGTTACCTCTTATGGGTGCGTCAGCCTCTCTATTCCCAAGATCCACGTTTGCCTCCTGCAAATTATCTAAAAGAGCAAGAAGCATAGAGACAATTAGGGAATGCACAAATTCCAAATCATTCAACTCCTTTGTGTATTGTTAATGGTAGATGTACCTAGATTCATCGAACCGGGTCCTACATTGACGGTCTCCCTAATGTCACCAGCTTCTGCAGGCCTTTCTACCTGGTGCGGTGAGTCGGGCTCACCAGAAGACGTAAAATCATGAAAAACAGGATCAGGACTTATCTCTCTCTCCCCATGCTCTCCTATATAGAGATGGAAAAGCATGAGTCAAAGTTCTGAATGATCAAGAGGTTGGTCTATAGAGTAGATGTTACCTCCATCACTGGCAGGATCGTCACTGGCCAAATCCATATCAGATGCTCGTGAAACTGCACGCGGCTTGCGGGCTAATCTCTTCCGCCTAGCAGCAGGGACAATAATCGAAGGTCTCGCATGGGGAGAAGGACAAAACTCTTCATCTTGGTCAGCTGTGGTCCCTGAAACATCAAACCATTGTCAGGCTTAATAATTCTGAAAGATAAAGGGAAAAAGTAAGAAACTGACCTCAATCAGAACAGTCCTCGTGATCTTCAAGATCTCCGCCTGAAGCTTCATCAGCAGAATGAAAGATCTTCTTTCCCTCTTCGTCAATCCGAAGCATTTTCCCAAATCACACGAGAATCGGCCTGAGAAGCCTCCTCAGCCTCTAGCTCTGCAATCGGCTTCACAGGAATAGTTTTATTGGCTGCTAACAACCACTTGCAGCTTAGGAAGGTGAGGTTCAACTGCCGCTCAGAACTCGGGAGACAACTGTGGAAAGCAAGTGGAAAACGCCCAACACTTGTGGACCTGTAGCTGCTGTCTGACGTCAGGGAATCCTCGCCCCTCCTACTTGCCATTCTCAAACAACTGTAGTAAGAGCGGAGGGGTCTGTGGCATACGGTACTGACATCATATCAGAACGATGAAGGTGTTAGACCCTAGAGGGGGGTGATTAGGGTCTTATGCTAATCTAATCCGATTTAATGCCAATTAAAACTAATTAATAAGTTATCCTAGCAAGTATAAAATACAACAAGATATGTAAGCTAGGATAAGCAATATGAACAAGTGAATATATCCTATCAATGAGATATTAAAAATATATGAGCAAGGATATATGAACTAACACAAGGGTAAAATAAACAATCTACACAAGTGATAGGGTAATATGATGAGCAATACACAAAGGCGATATAAGATATGAAAACAAGAATAAGAACGCCAATGCAATCACAAACAAAACGATATGTTTACGAGGTTCGGTCCCCACGACCTACGTCCCCGCTCCTCACCTCGAGGAGATCTCCACTATCACAACCGGGTTTTCTACGTTCACCCGAACAACGTTTACACCTCACAATACAATCACTATGTAATCACACCTCACACACTAAGTGTTGGTCCTAGCCCGTGTCCTCCTCCTCAAGTGCTCGGTTACAACCTCTCCCTAGGCACGTCAACCGACGCCACTCCTCTTGGATTCGACCCCGTCTCTCACCACACACTTCTCTCGGTGTACAAGTGTATTACAAGTGAATCCTCACAATTAAGCACAAGATAAATCAATTGATTGTTCTCTAAACAAGGTGAGAACTCAATTAAGCACAACTCTTAGTCACTAATCTCACAACCCAAAATTATACTATGAATGTAAATACAATAAGCTCAAAAGGTTGTGTGTGAACAAAGAGTATCAATAAAACAATTAAACTCAATATATAAATCTAGCTTATGGAAATTAAGATCAAAACAATAAATAGCTAGAATTGAGTTTAAGGAAAACTTCTCTATAGATCAAGAGTGAGAGAGAGATGAGTTGAATGCCCAAACACCAAAGAATGATCTCCTCTTTGCTCTTGTGAAATTTGCTTCACAAACTAAACTCAAACAAACTCTTAAACTCTTTTAAACAAAACTTAAACCCTTGATTAAAAACTTTCTTAAACTTGTTTTAAAACTCTCTTGACTAATTTGAAAAGACATCAGCAATGTGGTATATATACCCACTCGAAATCTCAGCAAAAACCCAAACAAAATGACCAAAAGGCCCCCAGAAAAACCAGCTCAGAAATAGCCGTTGAAGATCTTGATTCATATGCTGAGGAAGTTTAGTACTTATGCTAATCTTGGCTTGTATCTTTAAAGGTGAAGTTGAAGTTGCATGTTTGTAAACCTTGCAATTAGTGTTGAGTTGCTGTAGCTTTAAAGGTGAAGTACAAGTTGCATGTTTGTAAACCTTACTTATAGCATCTTTATATGAGAAATAGTGTTTTAGATGAAATTAAATGGTGATTCACGTGGATTTTGCATTCATGAAAGCATCTGAAAGCATCTGATGGTTTGAAGCTCATTGTTCCATATAGCAACATAACTTGGTTACTTGGTATGAGTCTAATAATCTGTTCTCATGTTTAAATGCAGAAGCATTACCGAATGGGGTTTGTGGACATTGCTCAAAGGCTTTCTGCTTCTTGCAAATGCACTGGCAATACCGAATGGGGTTGTGGACATTGCTCAATATCTGAGAACACCCCTCTCAATGCTATTACCAACCTTGTAAAGCTCGTTTTTGGATGAGATTTAGCTTGGATTTTCTGTTTGTGGGTTAATTTGAGAAACAATATTTTTGTGGCCTGTATTGTTCGTGACATTTGACGTTGTTTACATTTGCCGTTGAATTATGTATCAGCTAGCAATTATGTATGAAAAAATTGGAGATAGAAAATTAGTGAATGACTGTCAGGTGTTTTGCTAATTATGTTTTCAAATTCAGCTTGAGTGATGTCGACATTGCGTTATGCTGTTTTGGTTTTTGGGGGGATTCGGAGCGTTCTGCAAAAAGGCAGATGGTGGATGTTGTTGAGATCAATCTTTACCGTGTTTGTTCAGTTTCAGATGTAACAAGTCTCACCAAGTCTCAGCTCCGTCGCAGAATCTCTCTACAGGTCGATGCGGGTAGATCGGTCGATGTGGCGTAGATCCATTGTGATTTTATCTACGCCGAGAATGGACGGTAAAGGGAATGAATTTTTTTTTCTAAAGCAAAATCAACTATTATGCTATAATTCCACTCGAGTTGAATTTTGTAAATTGACAAAACTACATAGTTGTCGTGTCAATAATTGTGGTATCAAGTCTTTACAATCAAGTGAACTAGAACATTTAGCTATGCCATCAGATGTCAATGAAATTTAGTCCTAAAACAACCAAACTCAAGAGGCTCTGATGTTTGCCTCAACACGGTCCGCTATCTAAATCTGGCATCACAAAGCAAGCACTAATAAAACCAAAGCTGAAGCAAATATAACACATCTCAGACGCATAAGACTATTGAAAAGCCATGCATAATTGATTACTGAAAAGGATTTACAAAAGAATAGCTCAAACTGCAACCATTCTCTCCAAACAAAATAATACAGCAGCAGCATTACAAAGCCAGACACAAAAAAAGATTTCGAAAAAGAAACAGAAAAAGAAAAGGGGGGCCTCTGCAACCTCTCAGTGGACTACAATTTTACAATCACCATACCAGCAAGTGATATTTTCTTACAAATAAATCAGATGGATACGTATATATGCTAAGTACAAAGGAGCTCGGCAGATGATAAATATGTCAAATGCATTGTGGAAAGCCTTTATCTACATCACAGTGCAATTGCACTTGGATTCCAATTTCAGGGGCTTTAGATCATCTCCATCATCTCCATCATCCTGGCGGTGTAACCGAACCTGGAGGAGGTCGGAGTTAACTCGCAGGGCTTGGGGTCACGACGGAGGACGGAGGAGCTCGACAGTCGGATGTTGGGCTGGGCGAAGCTCGAGGAGCTGGAGGTGGGAAACGGCGAAGCTCGGAGGTGGTCGGTGGTTTTGGCGTCGGAAGGAGCGCGGCGATGGCTGAGGAGTTTGGCGCGGTCGGTAGGCAGGGGAGGGGAGCTCGGCGTGGGGCGGTGAGGGGCTCGTCGGAGTTGGCTCTGGTCGACGGCGATGCTATGTGAGCATGCATAAATAATATGCCAAGAATCACTCACATCCAAGTGATAATGAGAACACATAATGAGTATATCAATATGAAGAATATTGTCTCATATCAAAACACATAAAAACCATGTAAAAATGGATTTATAAAAACAATTGAGAGAATAACATGAGAATCATGCAAAAAGTTTTCAAATGAAAACAAATCAATCAAATGAAATCATAAATCAACCATTTAAACCAAAAATGATGTTTGATCAACAAAAAGAATTTCTTTGTAAGACTTGATAAAACCACTCATAGAATACATTATAAAGCAGGTGAATTATAATGAATTCAAAGAAACAAATCAAAACAAGATTTTTTACATAAATGCAAGAGAGGCAACAATTTATCAAGCTCTTAAGCTTGTAACAACCCATATAAACATTCTAGTATCCGGTAAACATAATTTGGGAATAAACACCCAATAAACCTGGAGGGTTATATAAGCACAAACCTCTCATCTAAAACTAAAACTAATAATCATGAAAACAAAAGATTTGATCAATCAAAAATTGTTTTCATATGAAAAGATTTCAAAGCATAATTTTCAAAACCAAAAAAAATAAAAACATTTAAAATTCTTGGTTTGAAAATCAAATTTGTTTTGGTACCCAAGAACTCTTGGTACCAAAAGATTTAGGGACATGACCCCTATCATTTAAGCTCAAAGCCCTAGGGTTATGAACCCTCTTAGGCACATATGGTGCACATGCAAATGACCCATTCGATTGCAATAAGTGCAATGAAGAGGATGCATTTGGTTATGTTGACCATGTGGATGTGCACGAGGAACATTTGCAAATAAAGATGGTCTTTTAAGATTATTTTGCAAATGAGAAACATTTTGAAATAATGTTGGTCTACTTGAAATATTTTGCGATTTAGAAACTTTTCGCAAATCAAAACAAAACTTGGCTAAGTGACCAACTCTACCACAAAAATCACAATGATACACATTAGCATGCTTATGATGAACAATGGGTGCATGTGTGTGTACATGTGATGAAGAAGAAGCCTTATGAGATGCACAAGAAGAATTAATATTCTTATGTTTTTGTGCATCATAGCAAAACTTAGCTAAATGGCCTTTTCGACCACGAATGGAACATTTGTAAGTTTTACTATACAAGTGTGCAAAGTGTACGGGTTTAGAAGTTGTAGTACTAGACTTTGCACCCAAGTCCATAAGTTTCTTATTATCTACAATGCATGTTTTAAGGGTTGAATCTAAAGATGATATTCGGTTTTTCACAAGATTCAATTCATCATTGTGCATACAAGCATTGGAAATAGAAGTAGATGAAACATGATCATTTCTAAAAGAATTAAACTTATTTCTAATAGTTTCTACTTCTATCATGGCATTATTATTAGCATGAGTTAAGCTAGCAATAGATGAAGACATGTTATTATTTTCCAAACTTAATAACTCATTGTTTTCTTTTAAAATAGCATTCTCTTTAACAACAATATCAAGTTTGGAAGCTAGCGACTCATGATCGGATTTTAAACTAATATGCTTGCTTTTAAGATCAATAAAATTGTTTTGCAATTTTGTATAGGCATGAGATAATCTATCATATGCACAAGCGAGTTCATTGATGGATATATCACTATCGGATTCCGAATCGCTTACCACACTAGGGCTATCGCCTAGTGGCCGTGTGCATGATGATGCTCCACACTCACTTGAAGAACAATCCTCCAAACTACGTCGGATTTCCTCCAAGTTGCCTTGATGTGCTTCTATGAATTTCCATAAATTGTAAGCACTATCAAAATGAACAAATTTGTTAGAAAATGATGAGTCAAAGGCATTAAGCAAATATTCTAACAAAAGCTTGTTCATATTAAACATTTTATTATCATGATTGCTCCACTTAGATTTCTCCAATGTGGGCACAATATAAGCACAATCAATAATTTTCCATAAGTCAATATTTCTAGATTCAACAAATAGTTTAAATCTAGAAGCCCATTGTGCATAGGGAAAATTAATGAATTTAGGAGCAACATTGGATTTATAGCCTAAACAAAATACATTCATATTCAAGATATATATATGAACATATGCAAGCAAGACAAATGCAATCATAACTAGATTAGCACAAATAAGATAACTTGGATCTTTAACTCAAGGTGGTTAGACCTTAAATCAAAGAGCACCAAGCTCTGATACCAATTGTTAGACCCTAGAGGGGGGGTGATTAGGGTCTTATGCTAATCTAATCCGATTAAATGCCAATTAAAACTAATTAACAAATATATTCTTGCAAGATAGATATACAAAGAGTTATGTGCAAGAATATGCAATATACACAAGGTGATATATCCTAGCAAAGAGGTATACTATATGATATATGCAAGGATATGCAAACACAAGGGTAACATAAACAAATGATATAGTGGATGAAATAAACAATGAGAGAAAGGCTATAAAGATGAACAAATATAAGTGTGCTAAGCCAAACTCAAACAAGCAATATGATCACGGAGTTCGGACCTTCCGTCCTACGTCTCCGCTCCCCACTCCCGGGGAGAAATCCACTAACACAACCGGGTTTTCTACGTTCACCCTCTTCTACACACTCGGTTTTCTAGCTAACCGAAAACTCTACAACTCACACTCTTGCAATCACACTCTACACCCACTAAGTGTTGGACCTAGCCGTGTCTCCCTCAAGTGCTCGGTTACAACCTCTCCCTAGGCACGTCAACCGACGCCACTCCTCTTGGATTCGACCCCGTCTCTCACCACACACTTCTCTCGGTGTACAAGTGTATTACAAGTGAATCCTCACAAGTAATAAATTCCATGTTGATCTCAAATCTGAAAAATCTGTTGTCCGTTCAATTGAATTTTTTGATTCAAATGCCCTAACTAGGATGAAATTGACAAATTTTGAAATCCAAGATCACAATCCTCAAAATGAACCTGTTCAAAATGAACCTGAACTTCAACAAGAAGATATTCCACAAACCTCAACTCAAGCTGGAGCCTCTTCAAGTCAACCTCCACCATTTCCTACTGAACCTTCATGTTTTTCAGACGTGCAATACAATACTTTGAGTGCACGTATCCTAGAACTGGAAACAGGTCAACGAGCTATATATGCACAAAACAGATATATCATCAGCAATCAAGAAGACCTAATCAAAAAGTTTGAAGACTTGGACTCAAAGCTTAATTCATATTTTCAAGGCCAACAACCTCCTCCAGCACCTTAGAATTTGTTTCTGTTTTTTGGTCAAAACAATTATGTTCTTATGTTTAAAACTATGTGGTTGTTATTATGTTTAAAACTATGTGGTTATGTTGCTTTTATGTCAAGTTTGCTACAATATAACTGTGTGTTAAGCCTGCTATTATGAAAAGTTTGCTATTATATGTGTTAAGTTTGCTACTATTTTGTTCGTTAATATAACTGCTATATATTTTAAACAGATAATGGTGATGAACATTATGGAACTTGTGGTCTTTATGGCAAGTCTTTGCCTACCAATATGGATGGGTGAAGTTATGGACTATGTTCATAACCTTGATGATTTGTTTGAAGTGTTAACTCATGTTGACGAAATTATGTTATGTTTAGGTTCTTCTTCTTTTTGTTGATAACAAAGGGGGAGAAATAGTTAAGTTTTATATTTTTTATTATGAATGTTAAAAACTTTGCATATATGCAGGGGGAGTAAGTATTACATGTTTTAAAATTTAATATGATGCATAAATTATTT